TATTTTCCATTGTCATTACTTGCCTACCTTTATCAAAAATAGTTCTGCATAAAATAAAGAGCTTTAATTAACCTCAGCAGATGAAACCAAATAAAGGCGGTAAATCAAAAATTATCAATCCTTTATAATAAGATATTGTTTACATGCAGTTTTTTTTAATACAATGGCATATATTGATATTTATCTTTGTTGACCTGGGCAACTTCTGGGCCACAAAGGGTCTGGTGACAAACCCTACAAAGTAAACAAACTAAAAATCATTCAATGCGTGTTGAGAAAAAAAAACAAGAAAATCTTTCTGAACAAAGCTTAAAAATGAATTTGAGTGTTTTCCATGTGGATAAGCAGCTCTAAACTACATGTCTATGAATAAGTAATCAGTCTGCTTGCATGCTTCAGGATTTACTAACAAGGAAAGCAATCAGACCCAAAATACTGCAAAAGAAAAAAAAAAAGGCACTTCAGCTTCTTCTTTTAAAAGGGGCTACTCAAAGAAAAGACGACACATCTGAAGATGACAAAGTTCCACACTGCATCCCCCTGCAGTCATGTGTAAAAGACATCTGGAGACACACCGATCCCAGATAACAATATTTCACCACGGACACTTGGACATAAATATGACCCTTAGCTGAACTCCAGTCGAGCCGCAAATACGCTCAGTCTGATTTAGATGCTTTCGCCTTGCAGCATCCTCCTGGCAGAAAAGCAAAGGAGAACAATAGGACAGTAAAATGTATCCTAATTCCAGCTGGAGATCCTAATTCAGTTCAGAGACAGCGAGGAAATGGGCTTGCGAGAGCAGACCCGGCAAATACGCAGCGGATAAGAATGATTATCCCGCAGATGAGCGGAAAGATGAAAACTAATTTAATAATAAGACCAGAAAATTCTGCAAGATAACGGGGATCTAGAGACCAATCCGAGACCCATCTGGCTTGTACTGCATGTGCATGTGCCATTTTCAGCAGCAGGAGGGGCCCATTTATACCGCTGGTGCGAAAAGCTTAGAAGAAACATTACTCTCCACAGTTTTACGATAAAAGAACCTCGACATTAATATTCTATCTAAAAGTGAGGAATTCTTTCTTTTACCACTCACCCAACAACTTCAGGGTGCTTTTAGCTGTTTTATATTTGGATTATTTACACAACACCTACAGTTTCAAAAAAAGATGTACTTGCCAAAGTGATTTTATTTTATTAAAATGTCTTACCCTCAATACAAAACTTTGAAATCTGAAAAAGGGACTACAGGATCTTTCTACTCTGTGGAGGTGATTTTTATTTAATTATAGAATATGTGCATCAAAGTACATGCAAATGGTTGCTGTGTTGTCAAAACTGAAAGGGAGTTGTTTTTTTTTTAGCACTGAAACATTTAAGAAATAGAAAATAAAGAATATTTTCCATGGTTTGACCTTCCAATGACGTATTGACAGGATGTCGGCTCATTACGTTCCATGGTAAAGCAACTGGTTAATCTCTGAAACTTCTTTTAGGGTTTTAAACTCACTAATTTATTCTTCTTATAGCATAATCATACACTTTATTTCCATCCTTCCGTTTTTTTTTTTCTACTTATCTGAGCTTGAGTCACGGGGGTAAGAGGTCCATGAGGAATACCCAAACATCCCTTTCCCCAACAACACTCTTCACTCATTCTGAAGGATCACATAGATTTACTAATCTGGGGAGAATAAAGTTTCTCTAGCCAACTCTGGCTCTTTATTTCTATTCAGCAGCAATATTTTAATTGGCAAATAGTATTACCTTTATTTCAGAGTATTTGAAATTCAAATGTGGTGGAGAATGTGGTTGGGGGTTTAAAGATTACCGATGTTCTTTATTTTGTTGTATATGGTTTTTATAAAGAGGTCCCTTTTGTCCTTACATTAGGGAAGTTGTTATATGATACAGTAACATTAGCATAAGAACCAAGAACTAATAGCTTCATGCAGAACATTGCTGCATATAGTTTGGAAGTAAATTAAATATTTGTTACTTCACCTGCCATGGTATTAGGACAATTGTCAAAAAATAATCTAAGTAATGAGGTAGGGGTAGTGACAGGGGTGAATATGACATACCTTTACTTTTATCTGTACGAATTGTGAACACATGTAACACATTACTTTATCACTATTATAACTGTGCATCCCCTTAATTAAAGCACACAGCACTATCATTAACCCTTAAAAGACAATTACTAATGTCTAATAATCAGTCAAGAATTGTTGGCCCCCAACAATGGTCAGTAAATGGACATAAATGATTCCATAAATCAGTCTCTTTATAATAAAGCAATGTTAAATGGCAGTTTTATCAAATTACTTTTTAAATTTCCTGCATCATCTCATTGAGCTAATTGTAATTGCTTTCTATCAACGGCACCAAAAGGAAATTTGGTTTAAGCTATTATTTGATGGTTTTTTTTTTTTGTTTTTGTACTATAAGATAAATGAAAAACAATCTGTAATGTTCTAAAGCAGTGGCTAATACTTTTTAAAATATTTTTTCGTAGGTGCTAGCTGTTGTAGTTTACAAATCAAAATGAGATTTTAGAATGTGTAATCTTCTATCCTCTCCTGGTGCTCGGACACATTTTTCTTTCAAGATCTAATTTTGCCGCTGCGTTGGTTTTATAGGTGCAAACATACCTAGCCCACATGTTAATGATCATACTTAATAGATCTATTTTGTAACTTTGTTTTAGAATTTTAGTTGTTTTTTGTTATATTAATACTACAAAAAACAAACTAGCTGAAATGTATATAAGAAAGGTCAATATTCTGACATCACAGAAAATTTGGTTCAGTATGGTAGCACAACTTTGCAGTTATGATGCTGTTATAAAAAGAAAGAGGGTGCTATTGATATCAACAAAGATAATAATGTAGAGACAAAAATAAGAAAAAGACCAAATGATTGAAATCTTAAGTCCAGTGATGTTTTAATAGAATTTAAAGAAATGTTTCCTGCAAAATTCTGAAAAACAATTTGTTAACAATAATGATACTTTTATCCAGTAATGCCCTGTATGTGACGCCATCCATCTTCACATCTGCTCTGACCAGCTTAGTCGTCTTACTGGCATTATGCTGCCTATGTCCATGCGTTTGTAAAGAAAGCTCTGCATTCTGACAGATATTTGGCATCTCTATAACCTAACAGTTATGAGCTCTTTTAAGTACAATTATGTAAATCAAATGTTATTGCGAAATATATCCATTTACTATCTCTCCTTATATTACAATCCCATAAATATGTAGAGTAGTAGAAATGAAAACACATTCTTGTGTTGCCTGGAGTAAAAAAGTAAGACCTGTAGGCTGTTTTCATTGTTGACCTTAAACAGAAAAAGTGGGATTCATTATGAACCGGCAGTGTTGCCACCTCTCATAAAAGAGGGATTAGTCCCCATATTTTTGCCTTGCCTTAAATGTTATTATGAAGGTTTTGTACTTATTTACCTGCCAAAACAGGCATCTCTTTGATGTATCAGCTTGGGCCTTGGCAGAACTGCATGAAGGCATATTTGTGTAATACACATTTTTCCTCAGGACTTATTACAATGTAAATTACCTTGTCACATCGATGCTGATCTCAAAAGTAAAAGCACAGATTTCAAACAACCTTGCTTAAATTAAATGCAGAGTTCCTTTCTTCCCACTCAGTCTGTGAGGAGTCTTTTCATTTGTTTTGCATTTTATATAGGACAGTGGAAATTTGCACAACTCTGTAAAAACTGCTGTGTCCCAGTTTCTGCAGGTCGGTGATTTAACAGGATATTGATTCAGTGTATTACCATACAGGTGCACCAAACTTGGAGACATCTGGAAATATTTTTATCCATGTGAAAATTCAAACAAAGCTGCTGCACGGCTGCACTAGAAAATATTCACATCCCTATATTTCTTCCAGATTTTGTTACTAAACAAAAGAGATGCTTTTCGGCAGATGTATGGTGTCTGTTTATATCAAAACTCTTAATCATGTCACTGACTCTGCATCACACTGATAACACCAAACCAAAATTGTGCATATTTGCACCATAAATATTTAATCCTCTGAATTTCCATATCAATGCATTTTTTTTTTTTGCATTTTTCTTTTCTCCCGCCCTTTTTACATTTGATCCCTGCTGCACTTTAAGGAATGGAAATGTTCTGTAAGCTTTACTAAACAAAATTTTGTTTTGTATGCACTTTTGTGTATACAAAATGACAATAAAGGTTGTCTAAGTCTAAGTAAATTTTACTCCAGACTCCTTTTTTTCACTAGATTTAGCTGGGCTGCCATGTCCCTCTATTTGTTCATTCCACCATCAAGGTCTGATCTTTGGGGTGCATCAATTAAATTCAGTTTATTTATATATTACCAATTCACAACACATGTCATCTCAAGTCACTTTACAGTTCACGAGATCATACAGTTAAATTGATTCAGCTTTCTATCTAAGGGAAACCAGTTGATTGCATCGACTCATTGAGTCTAAGGCAATTCCTTTATTTGCCTCTTGCACAAATATCGTCTTTGCATATCTGTCTTGGGCAAAAACCTTCTATGATGTAAGGTAAGTTAATAAACTTGTTCAAAGAGATATACCACAGCTTTCTGGATGTATGCTCCTCTTAAATTATGTTCAATTGGCTAAATATACCTTAGGCTTTCTTTAAAAAGGCTACATCAAAAGGATGATCAGTGTAAATCAAAAGCAAAGAATCTTAGTTTTATACCAAAGTGCATGAATACCTTTTGATCTATGTTGATTTTTAATTTTTAAATTGTACCTTAATATCTATGAATGTGTTTTAGTTTGTCATTACCTGACTAGAACTAGAACATGTCTAGTCTAGCACTAGTCAGTTTTAGATCAGTTTTGAAAAAAAGTAAAGAGGTGTGAACACAATCTTGCATTATAGTGTTTTTTCAGTTCTTTGCAGCTATAGACTGTTAAGCTTTGTTAACCTAAGCCGTTTAAATCACAGATCACTCACCTTGCCAACGTAGAGAGGCTCATTCCCTGTATACTCCTCCAACACGAAGAACTGGTTCCATACCCAGCTGCGTTTGTGCCTGTGCAAGGCCTCCCAGGAGTCAGGATCAGAGCGTAGGGACTTCTCCTCGTCCCCAGAGTTGGGATTTAGCCCCCAACAGCAACAGCCTTTCCCCCGCAAGACAAACAGGAGCACCAGGAGAGCCAGGGCTCTCCGTACGCCTGAGCAACACCAACCCATCATTTGGGCTTTCCTCCAAAATGCACTGAAGCAAGAAGAGGAGCAAAAATTAAAACGAACTGAAATGTCAAAACCCTTGGGCTTTTATCCTTACGGCCTGAACTCTGCGTTTCAACAGAAAGCAGGAGCAGTCGGACCCTGAAAAGAGCACACGGGTTGAAAATGAGTCAAATTCTCCATTTTTCTGCACAGCTTTACTGTTTTCCCTTATCGGAGAGGGAAAATAGGATAATTCCTTGTGCTTTGGAAGCAGAGAGCTGGCCAAGAGGGTCACCGGCGATTAGATGGGGGGGGGGCTTGGACACCAACTCTTTGTAATTGGCACCTATCAGAACAAAAAAAGGAGAAAGACAAAGACAGAGGAGAAAAGAGAGAGAGGAATGTCAGCAGAATATCCTCCATGACCGCAGTCACTTCTGATAGCGAGTAATGGGTCTGCTGATGCAATGATAATGGCATCTTTTTCAGTAATCCTAAAGATATAGACGGAAAAAAATGAATAGAGGACAGACACACACAGATACTCACCTACAGATGCTGTAAAAAGGGTGAGGTCATAGGGTTAATAAGGGTAAGATGGAGGGAAAAATACACGGTCTTTCGATGAATGTAAAAAGATTTCACACTGAGCAAGACATCAACAGCATAACAATCAAATACTATTCAGTGGCCTCGAAAATTATCCAGGCCTCCTCTCACCAAGGTCATTATTTTGTCATTTTTTTCTATAAGATGATGGTGACAGTGAATGGGTCTTGCCACTATACTCTAACAAGCCACATGATCTAAATGGTGCAGACTCTCATCACCGTGATTAAAAATAAATCTGGACTGTCAGCAGGATGCATGAAAACCCAAGCAACCTGACCTCTAATATGAGGGAGGGGGGGAACACGTTGACCCCAGCGTGAGCATGAGAAAAGAGATAGAGTTGGAGGGGCAAGATGGTTTAAGGGGGTGGGGGTTCTATGTGCCATCAACATGCTGTGACAGATTCCCAACCTTTTGATGAAGCCAGAACATGACGACTTGTCAAAGCTGAGGATAGCATCGGTCTCTGACAGAAAATGTTCTTCATGTCACAATGTATCCTAGCAACTTCATTTGACAGCTGCTACTATCAGTCTTTTGTGGGCATAACAGTGACTTAAACATTGAATACAGTGCCTTGCAACATATTCCCAAACTGCTATGTGGTTTGAAAAGATATGTAATTGAAATAAAAGGACATGTCCCCTAAGTGTGTCTCAAACAGGTTTGCAGTTCCTCAGACTAAATTTGTTGTCAATACTATTGCAAGGAGAGCATATTTACACTTTAATTCTAATACATCATGTATGGAAGGAAAACAGTCTCATTGGAATCTACCTTTTTCTGTACACCTTTTTGACACAGTATTTTAAACGCTGAATTTTTTTTTTTACAAATTAAAATTCTTACACTGAATTTTTATCTGGGTAAAATTCAGCTGCAAAAATTCCCCAGCAAAAAAGTTCAGCTGAAAAAAAAACATTCAAAAATTCAACTTTAAATGTGTTGACCTTCTGGTGAACTCAAGCCAAAGCAATCTACACTTGATGCAGTTGAGCAGCTTCTAGCCAATGACATTAGCTCATTTGATCAGGGAAAAAAAGGCAAGTTCAGGTGTAAAATATGTGAATCAGGAAATTGTCCATATATCAAACTGAACAATTGTTGTTGTCTACTTTACTGGAGCTTTACAGACTAAAATCAAGACTGACTAACTTTTCAACCCTCATAAAAGATTTTCAGAACTTTTGTGATTATATGTCAAATTAGTTAAATGATATCTCTGTCATGGCCCGAGGAGGTCTGAAATGTTTTCCCTGGCACTAAACTGACTTTGATAAGGGTGGCAGTTACCCTGCCACACAAAACAACTACAAATGTGCAGACAGCTTTATGGCATACATCACTTCCCCCTTTTCTCATTCGTTATAAAGACGGAAGTCAATGCAACTAAAATTTCCATGAGAGACTGTATATTTGTGCAAATTGTGCAGGGTTGATTATCAGCCAATGTGGCACCTTCCTGCTGGGATATATATGTGTTTTCACTGTGAAATGATTAACTAAAAATAATGTTTACTTGTTTCAAGGCTCTAAACTCGTCAGTCCATCAGTTGCTTACAAGTCATGTGAGGTGGGGGTACAAAACCAAAGTTAAACGTTTCTTATGTTTAACATTGTCGTATGACATTGTTTCGGCAAAGTTAGATACATTACCTCATCACTATTCATCTTTCACACAGCCACTGGAAACAGAAATGTAGCTCAATCCAACTGCAGGCGAGGGGAATGTCAGAATTTTACCACGCTATGGTCTTTAACATGCTGGTCCTCATTGGAAATACGGCCTTCCTTCAGACAAAATGATACACCCTTTGTCCACTTGAGGAGCTAAAATCGACCAAACTGAAAGTTCTCTAGAACTGCTTTAATGTTGAATGTTATTACATTTTTATTTCTAGGGGTCAGATTAAGCAAGGGAGAACCCAATTATACATTTTTCAGATTCCTTAAAAAAGGTTTTGGAAAACCATGTAACCATGTAAGGTGGGGCATGAGTGAAGCAGAGAGGGTGGGGGAGTGGCTTGAAACCTGTTTTTCTTCAAATTTTCAGTCGAAGTCTGCTCTCTTCTCAATGTTACAGACTGCAGCTTTAAGGGGATGTTATTATTACTGTGGATAATTTTTAGGGTGAAAAAAAATCAAAGTTATGTTTTTAGAAATAATACCAATACTTTTCATATGTTTATCAAATATAAATAGAAAAAAATTAATTATTTAAAGGTATAGTGGATTTTTTTAGTTTTGAAAAGACCCGCCCTCTTCACTTAAAAAAAATTCACATGCACAACCCTATACCCGCTCCCGAGCGGGAATGCCTATTAAAAGCGTGCACGAGCCCATTTCTCCTCGTGCATGCTCTTTTTAAAAGTTGCATGTTTTCATCTCTCTTATACAAGCTTACTTTCCAAAAGATTTGCAATTTCTCCACTATGTCAGACTCACCACCGGTAAGTGAAAATAGGGACGAGCACATAGGACGGCCTTACCTAAACATATCACCAGTATGATTAACTATTAGGAGGACCACCTATTTTGATGATCCACCCGGAAAAAGAACGTCCTCCACCATACCTTTAAGCTTCTTTTGCGGAGAAAATGTGAAGAATTCCAGAGGTTTGAAAACATTTTTTGTGGCACTATGGTTTAAAGAACCAATGAATGCGAATGTGAACTCCGGGAAGATGTTTGCATCGGCATTTGACCAAACGAGTGTATGTTTGTTTTCTCTGACCTCTCTATGTCTCCTCTCTATGTAGAGTATTGGCACAGCCCTGGGTGAGAAAGGTAATTGCTTTGGCATACAGTGACCTCTTTCTTCCCACACAGATCCCTCCACTTCTCATTTTACTTCCTCTTCATTCCCCTCAAGCAAGATAGAAAAAAAACAGCACACCACACACATCCTGTGAAAGTGATTTGTTGAACTTCACCACAGGAAAGTCATTAGGCAGCGCTAATAATTAATACAGAAATAAATCACAGCTGCAAAGACTGTCACCTCTACACAGACAGCTAGATGTTTGCAAGCGGAATGACTTAAAATCTATATTTATTTTCAGTCTGTGTGAAGTAAAAAAAAGCCATGAACTCTTCCAAATTAACAGAAAATTTTAAAAATATGGATACATTAACACAGTCTTCTCTGCGATTTAGTGGCAGGGGTGAAAAGTGGAGCAGATGTGGCTGCAGGGCAACACGACTTGTGAAGGCCGGACGCGGAGCTGGTGTTGTTCACCAGGGTCGAACCGAGCCAACTAAATGCATGTCATTTCGCTAAAGCACCAACGCAGTAGAAAAGAGATGGGAGCCTCATACAGAAGGGAGATAATGCAGCCGAGGTGTACAAGAAGTGGATTCACTAAAGCAGATATTGGCTTTTTATTTAATGAGTTTCTTCTGATTTACCATCGAGCTGATTTTAATTTATTAGGCATGTCACGTACAGAGGAAATCAATGTTTTACTTTTTCTTCTTGATGCAGTTGTTGATTATTTTTGAGAAACAGAGCATCAAATCTGAAGGAAAGGTTTGTCAAACAAGTGGACGAGATGACTAGATCTTCATGCAGGCTTAAGATTTCTCTGCAAAATTATAAAAACAGATTAAAGCTTGATTAAGAAAAACTAAGTAAACGCACCATATCTAATTTCATTATCACTGTAAACGATTTCTTGTCTTGTTTTTTGCAATAATGAAGGGTGTTGATAAGAAAGACTAATTTCCTTAGAAGAAGTGTGACTGCTGAGGAGAAAAGCGTTATTCCTTTAACAATGAAATCTTTTCTTAATTTTTTAAAGGGAAAAATAACTTGAATGCTCTCATCACATGCGAGAAAAGGAAAAAAAGAACTAGCGGTGGAATGGGAGTGGACAGAAGTGGACCCATACTGAATTGAACCTCCCGGGAATGATGTTGAGATAGAGGACTCTTTTAAGTATCTAGGTGTTCACAAACAATAAACTGGACTGCAGTGAAAACAGTGATACCCTTAAGAGAAAGGGTCGAAGCAGACCCTACATGCTGAGGAGAAAAAAGACCTTCTTTGACTCTGTGGTGGCATGAGCTGTCTTTTATGGTGAGGTATTTTTGAGCAATAGCACATCCACAACTGAGAGGAAGCAGTTGGATAAGCTCATTAGGAAGGCCAGCTCTATCCTAGAATGCCCCCTGGACCGTGTGCAGATGGTAAAAGACAGAAGGACTGTAACATAAAAATGGCATCACTTTTGGACAAAGTTTCCATCCCAATGCTTGAAACACTCACAAAATTTGAGAGCTTCTTCTGTGAAAGATATTTGCATCCTAGGTGTACAGAGGAGCGCTAAAAACAGCAGTTCTCACCTGATTATAGGCTTACAACCTTCACTGCTCCAAGTAGATTCATTACATGTTTACAACCATTCTGATGTTTGCACAGATCTTATCTGCTCAGTAACTGTTGTTACATAGTTTTGTTTCTTTTGTGTGTTGTTTTGGTTTCATTTTTCTGTAATGGGCTGTTTTTGATGAGTATGTTTCTTTTCTGAGATTATGTGTTCGGTTATAAATTGTTTTCTAATTTTTAAGTAGTTGTTTTTTCACATTTTCAGCTGGTATACATTTATTCCGTATGTTCTGTACACATTTTGTTGAATATAATTTTTATTTGTTCGCATTAAATGATCCGGAACATTTGATAAACCCTCCGAATTGAAAACAAATAACTATTATTTTTAATCTAAACCACAGCATGATGCTGCCACTCTCCATTGTTAGGGTGGCCATAATGGCCCATAAGTACACAACAGGTCACAGTCTTCTGTCAGTTAATTTACTTATAGTGCATCTTTGAACTATTATTCTAAACTTTACTTATCGCGATAACGGGGTCTTTTATTTTTCTGTGTGCATGAATGAGGGTGATAAAGGAAATACAATTTCCTCAAATATAAAATTTGTAGAACTGATTAAAATAATTTTTTGATGGTTGCCTTAAGAAGATATCAGCTGTGAATTATCACTTTATGAACAAACTGAACCTTAAGAACTTGGTTTCACTTTTAGAAAATTGCATTACCTGTAAAATTAACTGTTAAATTAAATGTTCCTTCTATTAAACAAAGAAAGTGTCTGCTTAAAGGTCTTTACAATGTGATGTTCCAAATGTCATGTAAATACAAGATTGCCAAGAAAAAAAAGATCTCAGATGAATGCAAAACAAAACAAACTATACAGCATGAGCCAAGATCACCATGTTTCATGGTGTGGATGGGGCTGCAAATATGGTGAAAACATCTTAAGCTCTGTTATAGTATAAGCAGCGGGCGAAAGAAAAGAAGTTAAAAAAGAAGTTTCCTATTAAACATTTTCACCAAGGTAGAGAAGTTTGTGCAGCCAAATCCTTTTTAACATTTATGCAGTGTGTCCTTTCATTTTCTTTAAATTGGACATATTCTTAAAACTGCCTTTGAATGAGATTATTTCATTAATGGATACATTAACGATTTGCCTCCACAGCATCCAAATGTCTCTGAATTTAAACCGAGGTTGTAATATCATAAATCTACAAATATCAAACATCACCACAAACCATCTCCAATTCTTGCTAAGTTTCTTTGCCATGCTAAAAAAACAGCACCTCCCGAATATCATGTTGCCACCACCATGTTTTGCTTAATAATCAGCAACACAGAAGAAGTGATAGATCATCACACTCAGTGTCCCTACATGACTGGTTTTAACGGCTTGCAATATAATTTTACAAAAGTGTGACCATGAAGCGAAACCCCTTTAACGCAAACAAAAGAACACGTGATGAATTTTACTTTCAAATGGCCACAAGCTCAGGAATCTTTTAATGAGACAGTTTTCTTGTTTTAAAGAGCAAGAGGAGAAGTCATTAAAAATCACACAATGTTTTGTGCCAATTTCTAAATATGTCATCTCTTCAAAGTTACAATTAAAAAGATGGATGAATTTCTACTATAAATCTGAGAACGTTTTATTCAAGCAAATCCATAAAGGAATGGTGAGAATCATCACCGCGTGGCTTTATGCTGGCTACATTCCTTATAATCTTTGAATAAAAAACAACCTGAACGCATAATGCTGTCAACACCTGGCGATGGTGGTGCAGGTGAAATAGCTTAAGCTCAGTCAAATTGGAAGTTAAACCAAATATCAACTGAAAGTATCACTAAACTGGCTGCAGGTGATCCTCGCTGACAGCCCCCCGGGCAGCATGCGGTTACTCATCACCGGCCGGTGTCAAATTGGCGGCTCTAAATTAAGTGAAAATGTCAGATAGAGCTGTGAATGTAAAGCGTCTCGCAGTCTTCCTTTGGCTCTGTTTGTCTCTCTCTAATCCCATTTGCCAGCCTCACAACAGGATTACCAGCACCGCAGCTCTCACTTTACCAATCGCATGCTCTCCCCGATCTGTCCGCTCATCCATCACTGAGAAGTTGCAGCGGAAAACTCAATGAGAAGTGGTGCAAACGTTTCAGTTAATTATGTTTAAAGAGGATTCCTAGAATTCTTCATCTTTGTTGAGGTAACCAGCAGAACCAGTGCTTTCTTTTTTTGCTAGTGGAATATAATGAGTAGTTACCACATACTGTAATAAGAAGATTCATTGATTTTTACTGTCTGCAGGAGCTTCCGTGTTATCTTTCAGGTTATTTACAACACTCACACCAAGGAGACAGAGAGCGCAGACTCACGCTGAGCCAGAGCTTCAACCTGAGCCCTCTGGCTGAAAGGATCCTCACTAATTCTTACCAATCCTTCATTGATTTGCTTGAATACAACTTTCTCAGGTAGATATACAGCTGATTGAACTTTGCAGATGTAAAAAGAATGTGTTTACATACAGATAGTTGTGATACTGGGAGGTAAAGTCATGAAACAAGTATAAGGTTTTTTTTGTAAGAAAAAGTAAGTATTAAAAGTAAGCAATAAAAAAAGTATGAAGGGTCTGTAAAGCAGTTTTGTGGAAATATACATCTTTACTTTCAATATTACCTTTTATAAAGCTACATTAATAAGGTAAAAACAAACAATAAGTCTAAGAATATTTTTCACATTAACTTTATAAAACATGGAAATCGGGTCATCTTCATGGCTTTAGTTTACATTTTAGCCATCATCGTCATTGCTTCTGATATACCGACAACCAACTAATACACAAGGATTAATACATGCATTCAAATGAGATGATAAATTGGGTTTCATGCAGCCTTCAGGGGTCCCATGTTGTTTGGAGCATACAAATAAGAAATTTACAGCTCATACATCACATATTTCAACTTGATTTTTAAAACAAGCCGTATAGGTTTGCCTCAATAAAGTGTTGAAAGGGGTGGAGCTTGGGTAGTGTGAGTGCAGTGAGTGCGTGTGAGGTTCCACAACAAAAACCTGTAAATCCTGGAAAGAATCTACATTTTTAGTGTATGATGCTATTCACATATGCTGTGAGCTGGCGAAAAATAGGTGAAGGATGGATACTGATTCACTGAGAAAATAAATATAAAAAGTATTGTATTTTATAATAAAAAGCATTGTTATTTAATATATACTGTAACTTACCTAATTATTTACATTTTACCCTTAGAAGCTTGTTTTGTTTAGGTTTCTTTTGTTTTTTTTTAATAAATATAAAAGAATTATAGGTATTGCCAGACATCCACACTCACCTACACCTCACTTTAATGACAACAACTGAGTGAGAAAAGGAAAGAATTTGCAATAGAAAATATTGTATATAGACCAACAATAAAACCTATATGGCTTTTTTTAAAGTTTTTTTTTTTTTGCGCAGTCTTCTACAACAGAAAAGTTCATCAAAAGTTTTAGATTTTTTTTTTTTTGCAAATTAACAGGAAGCAAGAATTAATGTAAAACAATAATTGTATCTCTTGACTTATTTTTGTTTCCATATTATTTTGGAACTTCAAAAGTCTATGCAAAAGCTAAAAGTAGCATGGAAAAGTTAGTGGATTTTACCAAATATTAGAAAAACACTGCCTAAAAAGACAATAATATAACTTATTAGAAAAGGAAATGTTGAGAATGATCTGTCATTAGTTTATTCATATATATATATATATATATTTTTTTGTTTAATTCTATTCGAATAAACCTTTTATTAAGCTCAGGAGAGTATTTCAATGTGTTTTTGCCTTAAACACAAATTCACAAACACAAATTTGCACATTGTCAAAAGTAGTTCACAGGTATGGAAGTTCTAAGCAGAAATTATACAGTTAAAATGAGCTGAGAATTGTGAAAAGGATATTTAAAAACACCAAAAAAATCTGAAGATCACAGACAGAATTGCAAATGAGCAATGCATGTCTGAGTAGAATCAGATCTTGAAATATTTTAAGAAATGTTTATTCCTGATCGGAAAAATTCTTAAGGGCCCCTTAATCACTTCACTTGTGTTTCTTAGGTGGCAAAAGATGGCTATCTTTATAACTTATATCACTCATATCAATCTATGAATTTCCATTTTTCTTTTATTTTTAACGTAAGTCATCACCAAACATAATTAATATCTGTAACATTTTTGAATTTGTAAAACACAACATTTATTTAAGCATAAGAAGTTGATTCCCATTTAGGCTAAATTTATTTGTTTTAACTCCTGAGCCTGATACTGTCAACAATCTGCAACAAGATTATAAAAGGTCTCCATTTGTTGATCATTAAAAACTGCATAGAATGGGAAATCTCATCCCAAACGTTAGCTATAGATCTATAGACTGATTATAAAGAGCTCTCAGACTGTAAAGCCTGCACACAAACAGAAAAGGCTAGTTAAAGATGAGTTCAAATCATGCAAGATTTAAATCCCTGCAAAACACACAATCTTTTAAAATTGCATGTCATTTGGATCAACATACCAAAAGTTATTTAAAGATTAAATCTTGTGACCTGGCTGCTTTGACCCTCCTGTTTAGCATCAATCATTGCGCATTATCTGTCATCGCAGCTGCACCTTGCAGGAAAAAGTTCGCAGCGCGTCCAGATCCGATCGAGCAGCATCGGTTTTCCCCCCGCGAGAAAAATAAATGGAAAACTAAAAGATGCAGGAGTCACTATCCGAGGAGACCGATTAGATGTTTGGATGGGGGAAACAGATGAGAGAAAAACATTAAGAACGTCAGGAGGTGGTAAATAAGCGCATGATGGGGAGCCAGGCAGCAGGGAAGCGCCGACAGTAAACATCCCTGTGAGCGCCCGCCGCAGGAAACCCGCGTCCGTGGAATACTAATGACAGGATAAAGCAATGGGATGGAAAAAATAAACAGATAATATAAACAAAGATATGAATTATGTGAGCAATGTAGTGGTTATGCGTTTCAAAAAAAAAAAAAAAAAGAAAAATACATGCATGCTGTTTTAAAAAGATTAAACATGACTTACCCAAAAAGGAAAACTTCACGTGGATGGTGTCCGTTGCAAAAAGTTGCACCTTTATTCTCTTTGCAGCCCATAAAGAAAGCCAGATTAGGTGCGAACAAGGAGTTTAGAAGTTATCATGTTGGAATCAGTCCTGGAGAGGCTGGAGATGTTCCGTCGGATCGCGCGTAAACGCTCAGCCACAGCAGGGATATGGCGCTCCTGACTCTTCCCGACTCTGTATCTCACCTTCTCCTCCCTTCTTCCCCTCTGTCTCTCTCTCTCTCTCCCTCTCCTGCGCAGTGCCTTCTCGGTGATGTGCAGGGAACCCCAGCTGCAGGGTTCGAGCTTTAGTCTCTACATCCCTCTTGTGCTGTACGCGCGACAAGGGACGCACAGCAGGAACGGCGGCAGCAGCGGAGTAGAAAAGGGAAATAACGCTCTCATCCGAGCCAAATCCTCTCCTTACAGAAGACGATTGAGGGTTTTTCTTCTTTTTTTTTTCTTTGCAAACCAAAAATAAGTTGGCGAGGTGGTAAAGCCAGAAGACACACGCGGCGCTTCTGGCGAGGAGAACCGGAGAACCAAAAAATGAGAGCTGCCAAGTTTTCTGGCAGCAGATGGCATGTGTGCTGCTAAATGAATGTCTTGGTAGTGGTGAGAAGTAGAGAAAAAAAATCGATGCAAATTCCTTGACATCTTTAACCAATGGGGGGAATCATACATTCACCTCCCGCTGTCTTGAGAGTTAATTAAAACCTCCTAGTAGCATGTAAAAAGAGCAAATTTCCCAAATACATTAGCGCCTTGCTGAAAGATTCACAACAGTTAAACTTTTTCTCTAATTTTGTCTTTTTAGAAGCAAGATCTTCAAAGTGCTTAACTGAGATTCTATGTGACAGATCATTTTATATGATAGACACACCTTATTTCACCATGTGTTTAGGTAGATGAGCAGGGCTACTTTTATGACATATACGCTGCAAAAACAATCTAGAAAATAACTAAAAAATGTCTGAAATGAAGTGACCATAATTTGAGTAGGTAAATAAAATGATCTGCCAATGGAATTGTTTACTCTTAAAATAAGATAATTAGAAAATATGCTCTTAAAATAAGACAAAGCAATTATTTTTTACTTATTTTAATAGTAAATTCTATTGTTCCACTGACAAAGTGCCTCACTTGCCTCATCAATTCAAGAGGATTTAAATTGAAGTTTTTTTCAGTGTAGATTTTGTCTGTCTGAGGAAGCACATCATAAAGACCTTTGGTGATTAGTCCATATCTTGTCCCTTGTCACTTCATTGCTGCTAACAAAAAGTCAGCATGTCAGCAATGGGATGGTGTGTTTAGAGATACATGCATGCTGATTGTAGCCTTGTGAGACCATCCTGATCTCGCGAGCTTTCAAGATTTCTCTAGCTAATCAGTCTGGAGACATTCACCAAACGAACGTCCAATCAGCGTTGGCTTTGAGGCAGGTTGAGGTGTGATGCAACAAGATGCGCGACAGTTCAGTCTAAAGAATATGGCGGCTTCAGCCGATGAAACTAGCGTTAGCGTGGCTATCGAGCAAGTTTTATCGGAATTACAGAGTATTTCTTCACTGAAAGAAGAGCAAAACACTGCTCTGGAGGCTTTTCTCAGAGGAAAAGATGTTTTTGCTCTTCTCCCGACTGGTTTCGGCAACAGTTTGATCTATCAATTGGCTCCTCTTCGTCGTCGCTCTGTCACGTCATATGCTTCGTTGATCTGATTGGTTTATTTGGCCTGTCTATCACCAACATAGGCCAATCAGCTAACCAGTATTTTCGCCCCTTCCCAAAATTACTTCTACGGAAGGTTTCCTATATATTTGTTAATTTTACTTAAAAAAAATAAAGCTTTACCAAGCACTCTACATAATTGAAAATCTTGGCTTTGATTAATGTGTTTAACAGCTTTCAAAAGACAGATTTTTTATTTTATTTACTTTACTCTGTAAAACAGGTTATTTTGAGACAGATTTGATGGAGAATATCTGTGAAAATTAATTTCCATGTCTTGCCATAGATGGATCATTCCTCTCAGGTCTTTTTGTCTTTTAGCTCCAACTATAGGTCTGGCTGTGTGTTCAGGGTCACTGTCTTTCTAAAAACGCAATCCTAAATGATTTTTTTGGTCTCTAACAGGCAGTGGCGTCTACAGACTTTTTTGAAGGGCAGGGTCAAAAAGAAAAAAAAAAAGGAATATAGTACATCATCAACACTGTAGAGAGCATATTAGCATTTCGCGTCCGAAAAGGCACTTTAACACGTTTTGCTTCCAAGAGGGCAACTTAGCATACATTCTTGCTCCCAACAGGGCACCAAAGCACCCGATTTGGGCTCCCGAGAGGACACCATAGCTGGTGTTCTGGCTCCCAAAGTGGAAGTTTAGCAGGTTTTGGCTCCCAGGGGGGCACTTTAGCATTCCTTTTGGTCACAGAGAGGGTACCTTGGAGCACAGTCTGGCTCCCAAGGAGGAATAGTAGCGAGCATTTTTTCAACAATTGGTCCCCAAGGGGGCCCCCCCCGTACACGCCACTGCTAGTAGGTTTCTTTTCAGGACTTCCCTCCACTGTCTAGATCCTTCCAACAACTCTGACCAGCTTTTAAGTCTCAGAGAGAAGTATTAAGCTAAATGTGAATATCTCATAGTGCTGTGATCACCGTGTTTCACCATGGAGATGGTTTGTTCAGGGGGCAGTGTAAGTTATAATAGCTGCTAGTGTCTGTCCGAGTGGCTACAGTAGTCTCTTCAAAAAATATTTATGCCCTCTGAACTTTTCATATTGTGTCAAGTACATGTTTCAAAGTAATTTTATGTGACAGACCAAAAGCAGAGGCAAACAAAAAGGGCAAGATCATGTGAAAATTGGTGTAGATTTGCACGCAGTCCTCCTTTTCTTAAAAAAATAAAAACCTTAACAGTTGTGTGCATTTGAGTTCAGCCTTATCCGTCTGTAAGACCAGTGGGGCTGTCAGTTTAAAGATGTTTGAACTGTTTTTTATTGCTAAGAAATACACCAAGGTTTGCAGTTGTAATGTTTCAAGTTTTTAAAAAGTTTTGAGCCAATGTGAATACTTTTGCAAGCACAGAACATCTATTGTTCATTAAAGCTGTTGGCATAACCTTTCCTTTTGTTCTTGTTCCCTCCATCCTAACTCCCACTAATACCCCAAATGTTATCTTGAACATACACATTTGTGTTATGAGAGTTTCATTTTTTGCCCAATTAGCTACAAAGTGAGCTCCTGGGGTGACAGAAGAATGTAGATTAAGGTTGGCCTCTATAAACTACAGCAAACCTCTGTGCTCACAGCCCACTGAGAAGAAACCAGTATTACTCATATGCCTAATTAGTGGCAATGCAAAGCAAACTCTTGATACATCATCACATATTCAACTAAATCTTTACTGTCCTTTTTAAGATGCTTATAGGATTTTACTTCCGTACATGTAGTTTGCGTACATGTAGTTTGCGTATTTTTGTCCAAGTTTAAACACCTGTTTTCACATAAGGGTTTAATATTAGAGCCATTAGTGATATCTGTTTTTTTTTTTTTTTGGCTTTTTTTCCCCCCTCAGTGTTATTTGCATTTTGGAAACAGTCACATTACAAAAGTGCAGCTTCTATTCATTTGGGAAGGGAGCCCTGACCCAAACAAATAGAAAGAGCAGCCTCTGTCTGTCATACCTGGAAGAACAGCTGGTAAAGTTGGAATGCAGCAATAACCAGCAGTTAAGGATAAACAACTGCATCCTAGATTATGGCAAACATAATAATAACCTAAAGAGGGTAACATTTGAAGGCATAACAGGTCTTTAAAAAACAGGGCGGAAGGAGGGAAGGGGGAAGTGCATGATAATAGAGAAAGATTTGAGAGGGGGGAGAAGAGGGAGGTTCGTCACAGTATACGAGGTGGGCTCCGCAGCACTTCAGCAGTGAGAGTTATTTAATTGGAGAATGACATTGGAGCTTGGCTCGTCAGCTCCTCCCCATCCATCACAGGCGGTCAGGAGAGGCCCGGGGTTATGTGGTCCTGCATCCCAGCTATACACTCCCTCAGCTTCCTACTCCCACATTTAATGGCCATGCCTCCATTTTACCTCCTCCATCCAACCAGCTCCACCCCTTACCAGGATGCAGCGACCCTTCACTCACCTGGACTACAGTTATCTTTCTCCCCAAAGACACACATACACACTTCTGTGGCTTGATGGGTCTTTTTGTTCACAGACTAAAAAGAGACCAAACCAAGGAGAACTGATGGAAGAATAATGAAATACGACCTCCAAGAACTACAATGTATGTTTGTTAGAGTTTGTTATGGGTGCCAAAGTAAATCATGAACAAAAAAAGGGACAGAGCAAAACTATTGTATGTGTTCAAATGGAAACATTGTGCAAGTTGATCTACCAGCATGTTTTCCCCTTTTTTTGTTGATGCCACCTCAGCAGAAAGTAGAGGTTTAAAATGTGTAGTGGACTGCAAGGCTGAATTATGTACCCAATGTTAATATTTTAACCAAGAAACTCCCTCTAAAGCTAACTATCTTGTAAAGGTGGCTTAACTTAACCCCCTCAAAAGTTTAAGTAAGTTTAGACCCTACAGAAACAGTGTTTCTATAGGGTATAAATTCATCACCACCTCTGAATCACAACGAAAACTAATTTCCAGTTGTGATGGTTTTTACAGCCTTCATTCTAATACACATGCTATTGTCATGGTTTTGTTTCTGTTTTATCTTTGAGTTTTCATTGATTTTATTTCTATTTTGTGGTTCTATTTATATTTAATTGTTTCTGAGTTCTTTGGTATTTCTTTTTTCCCTCTTGTGCTGATCTCCTTTTCACCTAGCTCCCTTCTAGATTCCTTTGTCCACATCTGCTCCCAATGCTGATTAGCCTGGCCTTTGTTTCTGTGTCCCATATATACAAATTCCTACTCAATCACTGTTTGCTGGTTTGTCATAATTTCTTTGCCCTCTTGTTGTGAGCATTCCTGGCTTTCAGTATTTTTGGATTTTGTGGATTTATGTTTGAGGATTTTTGCTTCTGTTATTAAATCTGCAAGAACCCACTTCAACTTCAGTCTCTGCATTTGGGTCCTCTTCAAACCTCCACCCAACTTGACAGCTAAAACTGTCAAATGAGCATAATTTTAAGGATGGACAGATTTCATTGGCAAGAAGGAAGTTGCTCTTGAACAAAATTTTCCTTACTAATTTATGATTGGACATAATAATAATAAAGTATTAAATACAGCAACATAAGTGGCCATGGAAGAATACATTAATGTTAAAATAGTTAAAACAAGAATAGTTTGATATTATATAAACATATAAAACAGAGAAAATAAATGCCTAATAAAATATAAAAATCCTTTTTTGAATGTTCCCTTTTAAACAAGTCAACACAGTGAGTTTTTTTTTTTTTTTTTACTTTTTAAAGAGTAATAAGTAATAATGACACCTATTTTTTTTTATATTGGAGCAACATACTGAACAGTTAGCACCGCTCTCTACTTCTCCTTCTTCTCTGTGGTATGTGTTTTGCATGTTTCCAAGTCATTAGAGACAAGGATTTAACACAACTAAA